ATCCTGCATGGGCTGCCATTGCCATATTCCCCAGAGTGAGGATTCGGGTTTTTTTTTCCTTGTACAGTATTATGGGCCAAAACTTCTGTCAGTTAAAAATGATAGCCACACTCTCCTGGTTTCATAATACAACAAACAGGTCTGCAAATAAGAATTTAAAAGTTTCTGTTTCTTTACTTATACAAATAACGTGAGGTATATATCAGTAACCGAGGTATAGATCAGTAACTTCGTAAGGTATATATATCAGTAATGGCCCTCCAAGCGTGTGGCTGCCATTGTTTTTTTAAAATGTAAAGCCATAAACATTATTTTTTTCATGCAGGAAAACTGATTCACTAAGTAGGCTCCCAACAAAAATGACTACAGCAACTTCCTTTGTAGAGAGAAGGAGGAATTGGAAGTCCTTTTGTAAATAATAGTAATAATATTTATTTATTTTTAATTTGATTTGATTTTACAAGTGTAGAATTATAACAAAACAAAATACAAATCCATCAAGGCAATGGTGATGCCCCATGTTATTGTCAGTTCAACCCGTACTTTCACAAAATAAATTTGGCTGCTTTTTTTGCTAGATAATCCAGTTGCAGCACCAACACTTCCAAAATGCCATGCTAATCTCAATTTTATTCTCATGCCAACAACCGCCTTGCAAATTATGAGAACCCCATTTCCAAAACAGTACAGTACTTTGATTAAACTTTTGTGTTTAGCAAGTAGTCTTCCTGTTGCAAACCCACCAAGCAATGAAATCGAAGTCTGGACTGGCATGATTCACCCAACCGTCTGAACCCTGGTCTGCCTAACTGAGCCTTCCACTCCTGGTTCATTTTCACACATTTAACGTAAAAATTGACAATATTAAGATTAGAATTGGAAGCTAACCCACCAGGTCCATTTCATCAAGCCTCCAGCAAATGGCAGTTGTTTGTCGGCAACTAACCTTGGCGACAGACTGAAGGGTGTTATGTATTCAGCTACGTTGCTGAAAGGCAGATAAGTTAATATCAAGACCCTGATATGGTTCTGTTCTCAGCAAAGAGAACATCTGTCCCGTTATCAGCTCAGCTGAAGCTTTCAACATCCCACTCCACAATATCCCCTGCCAAGAACAAACAGCTGAAATGGACTCAGGAGTTTGCAACTGTAGAAAAGCTGAATTTGCAAAACAAAACAAAAAAGCCTAGGAAAGCTAAAGTGTGCTGCAATACAATTTATAAGACGAACGTAAGAGAGGGAGAGAGAGAAGCCAAAGCGTATTATTGTTAGGAATGAACTGAAGCTGGTCATGCATTTTGTTTCCACTTTCCTTCCAAACTGCCCCACAACCAAGGACAGCAAGTTTTCAATGCCAATGGCCATTCTGACTTTCCAAGGAACAAGAAGGCAGATCTTGGAGATGCTACCGCCTGAAGGTTAAATGTCAAAATAAAATTAAAAACCTAAAAATCAAAACCTTTCATGAACAGCACCAAGCTGTTGAGGCTTATGTTCAGGAAACCTTTTGAAATAGTTGTCCGTTTTCATCCTCTGTGTTTGATGATCACAGAATCACAGAATTGTAGAGTCATCTAATCCAAGCCCTTGCAATTCAGACTCAAGCCCAGGACCCTGAGATTAAGAGTCTTGTGTTCTACTGACTGAGATAACAACCAATGCCTTAATGTAGAAAACCCAGACAGATGGGTATAAATAATAAATTGTTATTGTATTATTATTATTATTATTATTATTATTATTATTATTATTATTATATAACGTGTCATAACCTCATTTGTCTGCTACCTGTTGGCGTCCCACTGGCTGCCTGTTGACCCATGAGTTTAACTTTCTGAAAGTAGAGACACTTCTGTAAGATCAGTCCATTTGCTGTGTGGTACCGGTTTGGCTCTTGCCCTGACTTTTTCAACTTTGGTATTGGTTTATTTCTAAAAATGGGGGACTCCCTGGTCCTGAATGGGGTAACTGTGCCCCTGAAGGACTAGATGCGCAGCCTGGGAGTCATTTTGGACTCACAGCTGCACATGGAGGTGCAGGTTAATTCTATGTCCAGGGCGGCTGTCTACCAGCTCCATCTGGTACGCAGGCTGAGACCCTACCTGCCCAAAGACTGTCTTGCCAGAGTGGTGCATGCTCTAGTGATCCCCCGCTTGGACTACTGCAATGTGCTCTAGGTGGGGCTACCTTTGAAGGTGACCCAGAAACTGCAATTAATCCAGAATGCAGCAGCTAGACTGGTGACTGGGAGTGGCCGCCGGGACCACATAACACCGGTCCTGAGAGATCTGCATTGGCTCCCAGTACGTTTCCGAGCACAATTCAAAGTGTTGGTGCTGACCTTTAAAGCCCTAAATGGCCTCGGTCCTGTATACCTGAAGGCGCGTCTCCACCCCCATTGTTCAGCCTGGACACTGAGATCCAGGACCAAGGGCCTTCTGGCGGTTCCCTCATTGCGAAAAGTGAGGTTACAGGGAACCAGACAGAGGGCCTTCTCGGTAGTGGCACCCGCCCTGTGGAATGCTGTCCCTTCAGATGTGAAGGAAATAAACAGCTATCTTCTTTTTAAAAGACATCTGAAGGCAGCCCTGTTTAGGGAAGTTTTTAATATTTAATGCTGTATTGTTTTTAACACTTGATTGGAAGCTGCCCAGAGTGGCTGGGGAGGCACAGCCAGATGGGCGGGGTATAAATAATAATAATAAACAACAATAACAACAACAACAACAACAATATATTATTATTATTATTATTATTATAAAAACGGAATAGATGGCATTTAAAAGGGTTATGTGTACAACAGTGGGGCATGACTGGCCTAGCCGGTATCATAACTATCTTGCAATTCTTGCCCAAATAACGATGAATTCTGCCTTTAACCTCTTCCCCCTCCATGCAGGTTAAAACAAACAGCATCTCTGCCAACGCTCAGATTCTCCTACATGGTGAGAATAACTGCAACTCGCCAGTCTCCCGTTCCCAGGGCGCATTAATGGGCTTCTCAATGCAGTCATTTTATCATAAACACCTTTAAACTTTTCTCGGTGATCAGGCTTGAAGCCAATGGAGAGTACACAAAATTTAATATGTCTAGCTAGTGCCAATTACTCGTGCAGCTGGAGCTCCAAACTTCCTAGAGCACATCGCATGAGCCTGCCACCAGCAGACCCCGTACACAAGAACTCAGATTCAGGAGGCCTGTCACCCCCAAGTCAAAGTTTGGGGATAGGGGTGCTCCTTCAAAAGTCGCCAGGGTTAATGATAGGTGCCAAGGGTAATAAATGTATGGAATAGTGATATATGGAAGTGAAAGCTGGACCATAAAGAAGGCTGATCGCCAAAGAATTGATGCTTTTGAATTATGGTGCTGGAGGAGACTCTTGAGAGTCCCATGGACTGCAAGAAGATCAAACCTCTCCATTCTGAAGGAAATCAGCCCTGAGTGCTCACTTGAAGGACAGATCCTGAAGCTGAGGCTCCAATACTTTGGCCACCTCATGAGAAGAGAAGACTCCCTGGAAAAGACCCTGATGTTGGGAAAGATGGAGGGCAGAAGGAGAAGGGGCCGACAGAGAACAAGATGGTTGGACAGTGTTCTCGAAGCTACCAGCACGAGTTTGACCAAACTGCGGGAGGCAGTGGAAGACAGAAGTGCCTGGCGTGTTCTCGTCCATGGGGTCACAAAGAGTCGGACACGACTAAACGAGTAAACAACAATAAAGGGTAATAAAAGCATTCTGGGAAATGATATATAAGAGATGAAACAAAGTGTTTAAATTAACTTAACTGTAAAAAAACCAACAACCAGGGGCTTTTTTATTGGGAATTGTAGGTGCAGTTATTCCAAGGGAGCAGAAAAGACTTTTTATATATGCGATGACAGCCGCCCAGAAGCTATTAGCCCAGAGATGGAAAGAAGATAAAGTCCCTACCAGAGAAGAGTGGCTGATCAAACTGTTGGACTATGCCGAAATGGCAAAGTTGACCAGAAAGCTCAGGAACCAAGAAGACCAGAACTTTAACAAAGAATGGGGAAAATTTATAATTTACCTTGCTGTAAGCAGATGGAAACATTAGCAGGGTACAATAACACTTGTAATGTAGCAAGTACTACGGAGACAATGGAGTTATATAAAACATAGCTTATTGGAAAGATGCAGTAGAAAAAGTTTAATAATAGGACCCATGGAGGGGAGGGGAAAAGTCTAGGGATTCGGAAGAATCTGTAAAAATGTGGAAGTGTATGACTGTATTGTTATGATTTTATATTGATAAAACCAAATAAAAATTATTATATTTAAAAAAGATACATCATCCTACCATGTCAGAACTGTACAGGCATTTATCTCAGACAGTCGGAAAAGCTTGGAAAGCAGCAACAATAAAACTTGAGTATGTGTAACTGCTCATGTTCATTCCTGGTTACCTTTGCCTCTCCTAGACTTCCATTCTGTTACTGGTATTTTTCCCTTCCTTCGTTCCTAGAATCCTAGAACTGTAGGGTTGGAAGGGACCCCCCAAGGGTCATATTATTATTATTATTATTATTATTATTATTATTTATTTTTATCCCCGCCCTCCCCAGCCAGAGCAGCTAACACCAGTAAAATTCCAATAAAAAATAAAATAAATAAATAAACCAATTTAAAACACAGGTTAAAATATAATTTAAAATGCAGCCTCATTTTAATAGTAGCCCATAGATCAAAACCATAAGGGGAGGGAAACATGAGGGTCAGACTGAGTCCAAACCAAAGGCCAGACGGAACAGCTCTGTCTTGCAGGCCCTGCGGAAAGATGTCAAGTCCTGCAGGGCCCTAGTCTCTTGTGACAGAGCATTCCACCAAGTCGGGGCCAGTACTGAAAAGGCCATGGCCCTAGTTGAGACCAATCTAACCACCTTCCGACTTGGGACCTCATTTGTGGACCTTAAGGTCCTCCATGGGGTATACCAGGAGAGGCGGTCCCGTAGGTCCAACCCCCTGCACTGCAGGAATCTGCTGCCCAACGTGGGCTCCACGACCCTGAGATTAAGAGTCTCATGCTTTACCAACTGAGCTATCTATCTCACTTCCCCTTCCCTCTGTTGGCTTCTATGTGCCACTATCAACATTTAACCAAAGAGGAATGACAACTTAAGTTGACAGAATATGCACAACTCGCAGACTTAACATACAGAATAAGAGAACAAGAAGAACATACGTTTAGAGAAGAGTGGAAAATGTTTCTTGTATATTGGAGGGGGGCACTTGAAAACGTTGGCAGTATTAAGATAAATTCAACAGTGTAAATAAGTTTGGATGGATGTAATAATGGAATACTGACTGGTTTAGTTTATGTAAAATATGCAGAGATTTATGATATGCAAAATTAAACCATGGAAAGAGAAAAAGCGAAGTCATTGATATTTTAAGGATGTTTAAATGAGTATTTTAAATTGTAAAACAGAAAATTATTTACACACATACACACGCTTAACCTCCTTGTGGGCAAAGCCCCATATGCCTATTTTTGCAAAAACTACTCTTTATAAATGCACCAACGGGTGACATATAAATAACAACAAAAGGACCAGAAATACACATATTCTTTTCCAAAGCTAAGTCATCACAGCTCGGGAGTAACAAATCCTGCATCTCTGGGGAGGGATGAAGTGCATGGCGATATTTCATTCTCCTTTCCACTGCCTTTTTTTTAACAGCAACTGCTATCGGATTTTGTGGTATTGTTTGATTTATTTTGTTTCGCATTTTTACTGCTGAGCACAAATTTAAGGTTTACTGTGTGCCACTTTGGGAAGCTTGAGCAAAGGGCAGATCGCAATGGCAAGTACCTCAAATAAATAAAATAAATCTCCCGACAAGAGCGAACGTTCCTCAGGGCGCCCCGGGCGCCTTTCAGAAGCAACCTGAGAAGCAAGCCTGAATTTACTCTGTCTAGAAATGAACTCTGCAACACGGAATAGGTTTTGCATCCATTTCTTTGTTAAAGGTGCAGGATGAAATTAATGCGACAGGGCTGTGTGCATTCCTCTTTGTGTGAGTGTGTCCCATGCTTCTCCCCATCTGAATTCTGTTGCTAAACAAAAAACCTTGAATCGTTTGCAAAAGGATAAGGTATTTTGCATGCTTTATAGAGTCTTTTAAAGTAACTTTCAATTAATATACAGTGGACGCTTGGGTTGCGAACATAATCTGTGCGGGATGCACGTTCGCAACCCGCAGCGTTCGCAACCCGCGTCTGTGCACGTGCGGGCTGTGATTTGGCACTTCTGCGCATAGCGCGATTTAGTGCTTCTGCGCATGTGCGACCGCCGAAACCCAGAAGTAACTTGTTCCAGTACTTAAGGGTTTTGGCCAAAAAAACCGCAAACTAAAGTGGCTGTAACCCGAGGTATGACTATATATATATATTTTCATGGAATTGAGCAACGGAGGGACAGTGCTAAGAAATTGGAGTTGGTGAGTTCTGTAAAGCAAGACTGTGCAAACTGTAACCCTTCCAGCAAACAGCCCAACGGGTATGCATTATGGCCTTATAGATGCTGCCAGGCAGGCAGCAAAAACAAGTGGGTTATTGAGCCACAGCTGGGCTCCCACAGTTTAAGCACAACTTTTTCAGAATCAGTTAGAAGTAGATTTGTCTTTCACCCCCCAAGAGATGCACTTTCAGAGGCGTATGTGTAGGAACCATATTGCAGGATGTGATCCATGAGAAGCAGTCAAGTACAACATTCCTTTTAACGCTAGAGAAGACATGCGAGGGAATGTTTGGTCCAGCCAGTCAAACCTTCCTGTTCCTCCTGGCTGGAGCATCCTTCCTTTTGCATGCGATAGAAGGTGGGTGTGACCTTACCTATCCAGGTAACAAAAGGACGAGTCGCGCAGCACCCTTCCTTCTTTTCGACTTCCTTCTTCGTTTGACCAGCTTTTGGCTAGGACTGCACTGCTAGTTCTCAGCTAGCAGAAGGACTGGAATTGTTCCCCCATATGGGGTAGACCCACATGTACATATTTGTAACTAAGTCTGCCTTCAGGAATCCAACTGTGAACTGATGTTAGTAAACTTCTTTTATTGACTTTGAATAAGATTGTGGCATTTTTATTCTTTTAAGAGGGATTCAAGGGAACCTACCATGAACGTACAATTCAATCTGAGACAGATTAAATTGTATAATAGTGAGAGGCTCACCAGCTATCTGCTATGCATGCAAAAGGGGGGATGTAACTCTGCTACATAAAGGAACTTGCTAGTGCAAGGTAGGAAATATATTAATATACAATATATCCTCTCTTGCTGCCCTGAACATTCCCAAACGTACGCTTTCCGAGGTGCCTGCCCCTGGGGTTCAGACCAGCAGCAGACTATCCGAAAGCAGTGATTCAGACAGAGATGGACGGGGGGATGTAGCAGCCTTCCTTAAATGCAGGTCAGAAGAAGTATTGCACACACCCCATGAAGGTTGAGAGGACGGAAGCAAAAAGCAGAGCAGGAACTCATGCAGAGGCATAGAAGGTAGGCTCCTCTGCAATTCTCCGTGGCTCACAGAAGTCTTCCTTTCTCGCAGTGCCCTAGCGGGGTTTATTTTTCTCCACAGCACACAACTCTGGGGATTTCTGCCCCAAACTGACCTCCTGGCTGAATACCTTTACAGCAGAACACACCTTTGTCCTGATGGGAAGCTAAATTATTACAGGTAGTGGTAAAATAAATGGGGGGGGGGGGGGGAGAAAGGAAAAATGCACCAAGTCTAGAGACAAAAGATTGGTTGAAAAGTGTGGAATAAACTATGTATTAGAACACTTCAGCATTTAGAGGGGGAGAGTTGCTAGCACACTGAGTTTTACTTTATATATTTTTTAAAATAAATAAAAAGTCTTTAGAATAGATATATTTACCTGGCCATAATCCGTCCTGAACACAACAATTCCCTCCGCACAGGAAATTACAGTACTTGGATAATGCTGGCCATTTTCTCGCAACCAAACCCGTGCTCCCTAGAACGAGAAACACAAAAACACAGGAATTAGTAGTTTGTACACCCAAATGTAAAGCAAACACCATGACTTTCCTTTTTCTATTTCCCGCAAGCAGCCCACGCGGGCAGAGTCAGATCCAGCCGTGCGACTCGCGAGAAAGATGGAGATCACCCCCCAGTGAACAGATGGCTGTTTTCACTCAAGTTACGATCCGAAAAGGATCTGAAAAAGGGTATCGGCAGCCGTAAGAACAGCTGAATCCAATTCACCGAGTCACATATGCAAAATTGCAAGTGACGTTCAAATTTATGGCACAACGCATGGGCTCTCTCCAAACTCTTAAAATCTGGCAAGCCTTCACAAAAACAAGTCTCCTGCTTCGCTGAGGTGCATCAAGAAAGAAAACTTTTAATTTTTTCATGGCTTGAGAACAAACATTCCAGTGTCCTCCTCACCGCGCCCCCCTAAGAAAATGTAAAGGAAAATTTTTGAGCAGGTGGGGTGGGAGAGGAGCAAGACAAGCTTTCATTTGTACGCCAAGGGAGGTAGTTTCAGATCATCTCTTCTTACTCAAAGGACTTGGATTGAAATTATATAAATATATACTGTACAAGTACAGGGCTGGCCATAGGCAGAATGTTTTTAATACGCTACATGACGGTGCATGCACTGAACTTCGCAGAATCTGAAAACTGATATATATGTGAAAAAGCTTTTAAGGATGAGAACAAGCTTTCAGCTCTCGTGTTTGCAGCAGGAATCTTGAAAACGTGCTCAAGGATTGCACCATTAAAGTTCCCTTTCCCTTCTCCCTTTTTCTTCATCCAACTGGTAGCGACACGTCAGAAACTCAAGCAGCAATTTATAACCAGTTCTTTTAAACGTTTCTTATCTTAACAGTAACAGAAACAGTAATTGAAAGGCGGACGTCATTTCTCTTTTAGTATACATTTAAAGATATGAGTGCCCTTCGGCTTAGTGCACACTTTGTGCCTGTTGTGGCCTGCATACAATGGGGACAATGTTGGTTTATATACTTTGTTATTGTCTCTCTGCTCAGAGAGCAGGATCAACAAGCCTGCTGGAAAGTTTGCAATTTGCTAACTTCAAACAGCCACGAGTACCTTCCACGTTGTCTGTACAGAGCTGATGTATAATCTCTTGAATGCAGCTGGGGTAGCTCACTCAGCAGAGCACAAGACTCATAAAATAATAATAATAATAATTTATTATTTATACCCCGCCCATCTAGCTGGGTCTCCCCAGCCACTCTGGGCGGTTTCCAACTGAATATTAAAAACAATACAGAATCAGACATTAAAAACTTCCCTAAACAGGGCCGCCTTCAGTTGTCTTTTAAAAGTAAAATAGTTGCTTATTGCCTTGACATCTGATGGGAGGGCGTTCCACAGGGTGGGTGCCACTACCGAGAAGGCCCTCTGCCTGGTTCCCTGTAGCTTTGCTTCTCACAATGAGGGAACTGCCAGAAGGCCCTCGGCGCTGGACCTCAGTGTACGGGCTGGATGATGGGGGTGGAGATGCTCCTTCAGGTATACAGTGGTACCTCGGGTTACGTACTTAATTTGTTCCGGAGGTCCGTTCTTAACCTGAAACTGTTCTTAACCTGAAGCACCACTTTAGCTAATGGGGCCTCCTGCTGCCGCTGCACCGCCGCTGAACGATTTCTGTTCTCATCCTGAAGCAAAGTTCTTAACCTGAGGTACTATTTCTGGGTTATCGGAGTCTGTAACCTGAAGCGTCTGTATCCTGAAGCGTATGTAACCCGAGGTACCACTGTACAGGACCGAGGCCGTTTAGGGCTTTAAGGTCAGCACCAACACTTTGAATTTTGCTCGGAAACATACTGGGAGCCAATGAAGATCTTTCAGGACCGGAGTTATATGGTCTCAGTGGCCACTCCCAGTCACCAGTCTAGCTACTGCATTCTGGATTAATTGAAGTTTCCGAGTCACCTTCAAAGGTAGCCCCATGTAGAGCACATTGCAGTAGTCCAAGCGGGAGATAACTAGAGCATGCACCACTCTGGCAAGACAGTCTTCATATCAGTCATGGGTTCGAGTCCCAT